TTTGCTTGCCCCTCAGGAAGTTCCCCTGAATTGTCTGAGTGGTTTTAGTTGATTTGGAGAAGATGAATAGCTTTGAGTGCGGCATCAAGCACCTCCATATGGAGGGCTCAACGCTACCGAAGTGAAAGCTAAGGTGAGCTTGCACGAAGCCGACGCTCCATTTAGCATTGTGAAGAATTGGATCAGAGACTTTGAGCGGAGGCCGAACCAGCAGCAACGGTTTGACTCCGTGGTCGCCCGAAAACTTTATGCAACATATAACCCGAGCGAAGTGCACAAACTGATTATGGCTATCGACTCAGTATCATAGATGCAACCAAATTCCTTGAGATCAATGTGGAGCGCGCACATCCTATCATCTATAAAGACCTGCACATGAAATGCTCCAAACACAGGGTTAATCTGGGGGAGGAGCTGGCTTGCGTGCTGGCTTTTGAACAGATTTTGTCAAAATTTCGAAGAAATTTCAAGGATTTTGCAGGCGGTGATCGTAAAAACATGGGTTTACTGTTACATTCCGCGCTCAAGAGATGAAGTTGAAGCGTCATAGGTCAACAGCCATTCCCCAAAGTCAAGACCAGATTTAAAAGCTTCCGACTACCTTTTTGGGAATGCAACGAGGATTTTGTTAATCGAATACCTTGAGACGGGCAAAATGATCAATGGTGAATACTATGTTAACCTTTGGATGGTCTTCATAAGGCTGGGTTCGTCTGTTCAATATGAATTTCGTCGTGCTTCAATAGGCAAAAGCGATAGAAGGGAGCTAATTTTAGTTTCAAACCCATCAGTTGTCGACTTGCCACAATTGATGTGCATAAGAACGCATTTTCTTCCCACAACAAATTGGTAATATCTTCATTTTTGAGAATCGGAAAATAAACTGTACAACTGCTTGCGAATTGAGATATCTACAAAATCATTGCGCTAGCTTGAAGAGGGTGTTTTGTCAAATTCTGGCTTCGCTCGAGAATTTCATTATCTTTCATTACTTCCCAGTAATCTTCAGTTTGATTGTCTTCTGTGTCGACTTCACCGCTTAAAGCTCCTAGTTCAACGAGAGGAAAAGAAGCGTTTTCGTATTGATCCTCCTCATGGCTTGTTAGTATCTCCACTTCAATATAGTCATCGTCCTGCTGATGGGAGTCATCTTCGAAAAAAAGCTCTTCTTCTAACTGTTCCTCTTCATCGGCACAATTGTCAAGCTGTGCATGAGTGAGATCTTGTTGTGATAGATCCGCTGGAGTAGATTTATCCGAGATACGAAATTCTTTCGAAATCACTTGTCCGTTGAATGGTTCGGCTGCAAAGTTGAAGTTCGGGGCCGTGTCCTCCTCTGCGTCTTCCTTCTGGAATAAAAGATTTTCACATATCAGAAACACAAAGAATTGATTATCAATGTTCAGAACATCCTTAGAGAAAGTTGAGTTTACTTTGTATTCACTGTGAGATCTGGCACCAAAATAATTCTGCACTCAGGTTTAAGCCTCTGCTCAAACTCTGCAAATTGTATCAAGCGGTTAAAAAGTACGGCACCTACCTCCAACGGGAAAGCTGTAGCTGACGCGAGTAGAGAAGTAATGGCGCAAATCTGTATTTGCAACAGCATTGTTCTCATTTCGTCTGCAATGTATCACTTGTGCCTGTTGATGGTCCAAATCGACACATAATTTGCTAAGAAATTGGAAGAATTCTATGTCACACTGCTTTCCTCTCAAAAAATTATCTGTTTAATGTGCCGGTTGCATCCTTGTGGGAGATATAAACAAAATTTTAGAGCATCTTCTAA